AAGGAACGTACGAGTTAACAGGCCAACCGCCGGCGTCTTCCTTATTCGTTCTGTGCCGGCGACCTCGTACGGGTCTCCGCCGCGGAGTTCAGCCTCGAACAACTTATCTCTCGCAAGCTCCTTCCGAAATGGATGGGGCCCTGGCCCATTGTGGCACCCGCTAAAGGACCCTCCTTTGTCATTCAGGTGCCCGCCTACTTGCCCGTCTACCCGGTCTCCGATTGTTCTAAGTTAGAGCTGTTCACTCCAACGGAACGACGACTTTCCCGGGCAACGATCACAAGACCCACCCTCTATGGAGGGTTTTCAAGAGGTTGGCGACATCATCTCCCAGCGACGCTATGGCAACAGGCCGACAGAGTACTTGGTACATTTCTCCTATTGTAGCCAAAAGGCCGACCGTTGGTTGACCTGTGCGGGACTTCAGGCAACAGCGCCCGATGTTCTCACACATTGAGAACGCAAGTTACAAGGCAAGTCGACACCTTAGGCTCCACGTCATACTCGCGTCCAGTCTTCGGATCGTCAGCTTCGCCCTCGACCTGGCTCGACTTCATAAGGAGGGGGGGTGTTACATCCTGACCTTGGACATGGGCCCCAGTTGAGGGGCCCGATGGTTGCTGAGGGGGCCCCAGGCCGCGTGCCCACCAGACACGCGCCCTAGACGCCCACGGCAGCCCTCAGACCGTAGGTACGGATAAGCGACAACATTTTGTTATTTATTTATTTATTTATTTTGCTGTCCTATTGTTGTCTGCTCAGACGTCATTTGGGACTTGCAGGCCCCAAGGCGTACGCCAGGGGCAGGGTCGTTTTAAGGCCAGGCACATTTTTGCGCCCCGCTGCATCAGCAGGACGGTCTGGATGCCCGGTAGGGGCCCAGACCGTATGGGCCGTTTTGGGCTAGCATCAGAGGCACGCCCAGCCAGGCCCAGCGCTACTTATAGCTGGGCTACATGTGGGCACACACACAGTTCGGGTAGGTCACTTCCTGGGCGACATGCTGCTGGACCGGCGCTGCATGCTACAGCGCTACGCGACGAGGTTAGAGGTAGAGGTTAGGTAGTCAAAGGGGCGGAGGCCATACATGCAGAGGCGGACCTACCTGGTGCCATGGCTGGGTTCCGCACACGCCCCAACCTGCACACGACGACGACACGACGACAGTCAGTACTGGTGGCGGCTCCCTGCAGGTGAGACAGGGAGGAAGACGACATCTTCTTCTTCGTCGTCGTCTCGTCTCCATCTCATCTCCCTCCTCCCTCCTTCTTCTTCTTCTTCTTCTTCTTCAGAGAAAGGGAGAGAGGTTACTGGTAGAGGTTACGTCGAGCATACGCCCAGGATCTGATTCGGCATTTTGCGGCAGACATTGATTGGACACCCAGCAAGGGACTATTTTTGGACTTCGCTATCACGATCTTGGTCTTCCCCCTCGCCTCCATCTTCGTCTCGCCTTCTTCCCCCCATCTCTCATCCGTGATATCTCCCCATGTGTGTGCACAAGGAGGGACCTTTCTTCCGTGTATGTGGTCCCTCCTCCCTCTCTCACATGTGTGGTGTATGATGGGGTGTCGCGTCAGTATCTGACAGGTCAGGTCATATCTTTGAGTCTTCCGCTGCGCTACATTTTGCTATTTTCATATGTGATGTAGATTGCTTGTTGATGCTTGGCTGACGCTGCATTGTCCATACGAGTCCTTTTCATATCTTTGCGGATCCTTGGGTCCCATACATTGCCCGACTGGGCATGTTACATTCTCTCTCTTTTTCTTTTTTCTTTTTTTTTCCAAAGAAAAAGCTGTCTTCTCCTCACATGGGGGACAGTTGTATCCCCACTTTGCTATTCTCTTCTCTCAATGCCTTTTTTTTTTTTTTTT